GTCTTCTACATCGGCTGACTACCGAAAGCCACTGTATAGGCTACATATACATATAAACATAGTACTTACTTTAATATAGCGCCATAAATATAGTAACAAAATAATGGCTGTGCAGAACCGCAATACAAATTGATACATGGTGAATTTATGCGAACTATTTACTACGCATCGCCTCAAGAAAATGAACGCACGGTCATCTTAAAACGTCGTCTCCGGTACTGATAGCTCGAAGACGCTCCAGCTACTCATCGACGGTGGCAAAGTCTTTTGAAAATCTCCGGCTCTGGCCTTTTTCTTCTACTCGACATCAATTTTAATACTTTTCTCGATATATTATAAAATGAGCGATATCGCTCTGATGACACTAATTCCAGTCCAAATCACCATAGAAGAAGAAAATTCCTACGAGAAATGATATGGCACTTATGAACTCACTCTTCCGGTTGTAGTGAGAAAAATACGTGTAATCTGGAACTTAGACGTTTCTTCCACGCTGAACACCTTTTTGTCAGAAAGAAGTGTCGAAGCGTGTGCCGCGTGCATGAAGGGCACTGGACTTGCGCGCCCTCTCGAACTTCTTCGTCTAGAATTTTATAAGGTTTTTAAAACCTGTCTGTGTACCATTGTAATTAGTCGTGGAAGACTTTTCTCATCGAAGTGGAACATACATCCAACTCGGCAGTCATTTTTCTCGTTTTTCTGCAGGTTTAGCATCGTAATCATTCCCTAGCAACTGTATCCTTAGAAGGGGTCGTAATCGAGATGAGGCGACCGTCTTAAGGCTGGTACTTCACCTGCCCACGCAACGCATTGCAGGAGAGGGTCATGCGATGAATGTCAAAATGACGAGAGATCCGGAGGTGAACTCACCAAATGCGCGCAAAGACTGAACTGAAGATGACTGCAAGGCTCCACCATTTTTCGGAAACAGGCGAATTGAGAACACCACAGTAGATATGTGAGCTAACGGATATCATAAAAATAACAGACGGTGAAGATTTAAAATTTCCCTCAAAACAAGAAGTCGAGGACATTCGTAAGTTGTCGCTGTATTTATGGCGCACCCTGTACATACATTCTATACACAAGTGCAATTCTGAATGGAACTCGAATGCGTTTGCGCATCGCTCAGATGGGGCTGATTAACGCCCCAGGACTATCCTAAGTTTCTAAGCTAAATACTCCTCAAAGAGCCCGTCGCCTATTCGAAACAGAATGATTGCTGCAACCCTTTGATTTTCGATAGAGCGTGGCCAATATGACGTGAAATGCAGGAAAGTTGTGTGCACGGAAAAATCCACTCGCTCTGTTGATTCTCTCTCCATGTTTTGATTTCTCTTCTGAAAACCAAATGTATTGGGGAGTGGTTCCGAAAATAGCACGACAAAAGTTCACCTTTGCTAACTCAGTATGAAATCTGTGCCCCCTTATAGTCTAAAGGTTGGTTTGGTGGACTGTACACAATATCCCCGAGCGCGCCCATTCTGGTAAACTAGCACACTAGGCAGCATGGGAAAGTGGAATTTCAAAATCTGCCAGCAAGAAAGTGAGCATACACGAGTAGCTCTCATGCAATACAACTCTGATCAACGGGCTTGAATACAAGTTCAAAAATTCGAAAACAACCATCTCTAACTCCTCAGCGGATGGACCCAGAGATTTTAGAAGCTGCGAGACGGGCTGGCTTGTTGAAAGTCGTGTACGTAGGTTTCGATGAAGGCTCTATTGTCAGATAGTGGTAGCCGTAAGCGCAAGTGTGAAAGACTCATGACGGTTACAACACCAATCCCTGCCATGGATAAAACCTACTTTACAATAAGCATGGTCAGACTCATTGAGCAAATTAGGTTCAAAGTTAGAGTGTCCCTTCGGAGTGGCTCTTTAACTTTGAACCTGATATTCTCAATGAGTCTGACCATAGTCGAAAAATTGTGGAAGGTGTCAAGCTCCACTAACGAATACAGAACAAACGAAAAGTGGAAATGGCAAGGCCATGGCAGAGAAGTCACTCAAGGTCTATTTCTCCGCGACAAGGTCGGTGAACGATTCTCACGGGTATGTAATACTATATATCCATGTAGAGGAGGACAGGGATACGTGTACCGCTGCTAGCTGGCTGCCTCGAGCACAAAAAGGATAACTTCTATCTGATGAAGCCATTACGTTAGTTTTGGCCCGTGTCATTATCCATAACATCGCCGCTATGCTGAAACTATTTCAAACGTAACGGCGATATTATGGACAAGGATCCGGGCTTTCAAAGACGTAGTAGTTTGAAGAAGTTGTAGCAAACTCTCTACGCCTGCCTTGGAGAAGCCAGTGAGTGCGAAATTAATAGTGGAGCTTTGACAAGTCAGTGGCTGCTTTCATAATCCGCCGGCGTGCGTGCTGGCGTGCCGGCGGCCGAGACAGTGCTAGGGGGAAGGAGGGAGGCAGACGATCGGTCAGCCCCTTCAAAAGACCGAAAACAAAGATGAACAAGATCAAAAACCAAACAACCAGGGGCTTGTGCAAATGGTTTTTGTTCTTGCCTCTCCTTGTTTACGGCCCTTCGAAGGGGCTGACCGACCGTCTGTCTCCCTCCTCCCCCTAGCACTGCTTCAGCACGCCGGCACGCCGGAACGGAACGCCAGCACGCCAGCATGCTAGCACGCCAGCACGCCAGCACGCACTATGAAAGCAGCCAGTGAGTTAGTTGGTTAGGACGAGATCATGGATTGCGGGTAAGAAAAGTTGATCACGACTGACAGGAGTTGGTTGTCGACTTTCAAGGGCGAGACAACTGGGTTTCTTACGCCTTCGAATTAATAGTGGAGCGCTCTCGGTATGTTACAGAAACAAAAATTCAGTACGGCGACTCACCCCTTACAGTAACCCGCTGGCTTACCAAACACCCACCCTCGTGTCCTTGCCCAAAGCCCATTTTCGACGCGTCGTATATGTGAGCGGTGAGAATTCGCGGGCTGTGGTGTGCCGGTTTACTGTAAGGACCGAGTGCCGTACATGTCGGGTGTTACGAAATGCAGGTGCTAGAGCACGGAAACTGACATTAAATGATAGGAGTTACTCAGAAGGTATGAAAAGATGCCTTGAAAGATACCCAACTATTTCACTCCCTCTTTACGTATCAATAGCGGAATCTCTCTGCTCCATTGCGTGACTTAAGGCGTAACTGAAGCGCACATGACATGACAATATTTATAGCAGCTGTTAAAAGTTTGAAAGATTTCCTCAAAGCTTTTGGCTTGTCTATAACCTTTACATCTCAAAATGTTCCATATGGTAAATCGGGATGCAGGGCAGGTCGACATAAAACTACGCATTCGCAAATTTATCACTATGCATGGCGACTGAAAGCCCGCATCTCATAGTATGGATTAAATCTGATCTGTTTAATACTGCTTTGCCGTACAGGTTTGTTATTGCTGAACCGCTTTATTGGTCAACGCTTCGACTGAATCGTCGTCTTCAGGACCAGAAAATAGTTCGAAGCTCCTGATCTATGACTTACCCGACCAAGTGCCAAGGATGTTCTGGACAAGGATACGAGCTTTTAAAGACCTAGTAGTTCACAGAAGTTGTAGCAGACTCGCCACGCCTGCCTTGGAGAAGCCAGTGAATGCGAAACTAACCGCTTTCTATGAGGGACTAGTTAATCGAGAGGGGAAATAGTTGGTTTTCCCTGTAGGAAAAATCCACTAAAAGGTCATCAAGGAAGGCAATGATTTCGACATCGAATGTAAAATCTTAGCTACGAGAATGAGATCGGTGCCAGAAAGATACTGGAAGCGTTACATATTCGCAAGAAAATCAAAGCCTGAACAACCGGAATGAGTGTGAGAAGACGATTCAGTCGAAACGTGGACCAATAAAGCGATTCAGCAATAACAAACCTGTAGGCAAAGCAGTATCAAACATAATGTTGAATGCCCAGAATTCAAGAAGACCGAACATGGAAGTTTGAATTTGATCTGTTATTTGCTATCAACTTACCATACGACATCAATGCATAAAGTTTGCGGCTCAGTGAAAGTTACCGTTTCTTCTTAATTTTGAATTATTGCTCGTGATAAATGTGCTACGAATGTGGGCTGTTCGGCTAAAACCGTTAGAGATACTCAATTCCGAGTGAAAACTAGCACGCGTTCGATCGATGAAGGACTTAGGTTTTATAAAGATCAAGAGAATAAGATCATAACTTCGTAATAGCGGTATCAAATGTCATTTAATCGGATGCCAATTGCACTTCTCTTTTTATGCAAACCATCCTGCTTCGAAGCTGTTCACTCCTGGTTCTCCCTTTGGGAAGATCATGACCAGAAAAGGTTTTTTAATTGAAAGTAAGAAATTGTGCTGGAGTTACTTCCAATTATGCGCCTCGTGAACTAGTTGAGTTACACGATAACCAGCCTAAATTTCTGGATTTGTCGTCTTTATCGATCATTCATATGAATATACATGATCTCCAGAATAAAAATCTTGTCAAAGATTACAGGGAAGCTAACTAAGTCAAAGTGCATTTTCCAGGTTAAAAAATTTGTCGAAGAACACAGGGAGGCTAACAAAATCGAAGCGTTCAGCAAAAGAATAGGAGTCATCGAAGATCGCATTGCATGGAAGGATAGAAACTATGAACCAGTGGTGGCCTACTTCAAAACTCATAGTTGAATTTCTCAGTCGTTTCTATTTTCTGTTCCAGTATTTGCTTTATTTTAAGCATTACACTATCAAGTTCGTACAAATACGAATAAAAAATTGAGCTTTCTTCATAAGAGATTGCGTCAGTGACTCTAGACTGCACGCACCGTACAGTTCACACTTTTACCCTCTCAAAGTAATTTATTAAACTACTGACTGACCCTGGGGAGATGAGAAGCACGGTTGACACACACAAACAAAAGGATAGAGGATAAAGGCTTGGGGCGATAATCAACCCTTCTGAGGGATGCGTCCACGCATTCAACGCCCACACGGAAGGAAAGGGTAAAAGGGAATCTCATTTATTTAAATTCCTTCCGACATTATGGTTTAGAACTAATGTCTGGCACATGTTGTTTGAGCTGTTACTACCACATGTTGAGAAGCTTCACACACATTAGCGGTGTCATTATTTTATTCGGGTTGGGTTGCTGCTGCTTTTATCCAACATTGAGTGTTAGAATGCAGAGGAGGCGTAGCCGACCTGACCTGTACTTAGAAGCGGTTCTAGGCGAATGAATATGGTTCCAAGCTAGGCCTCAGTAGGGGAGCAGCGGCGGGGTGGAGGTCTCACCCACCTCGGTACCCCTTTCCTCAAAAACAGAGCAAAAACCTGTATGTTCTCGGCTAAGAAACGTTGATGAGCACAATTATGGACTAACCTCCTTATTTTGAAATAACGTTGAAAAAAAAAGGTCCCCCCTCAGCTCCGATTTCTGTAAAGAAGTACATAGCACGATGCGTGTACAGACCGAAATCACTGCTTTGAAGTACCCACTTCACTTCACATCACTCGCTTCACTTCGCAGTACTCATTCTACTCCATCAACCTACCCACCAATTTAATGTCTTGCCTATAAGAAGGAAGTGTAAGATAGAGCAAGACTTCCCATATCACTACTACCTTTGTTGTAATAATATGTTTCGCGGACGGACAGGCCGACAAACAGACAAACCTACAAACCGACACATCAAGTTTCTGTTTTATAAATGAGAGGGAACTTCAAAGATTTTAGAAGTAGTAAAGGTATCCGCAATTGCTTGATGTTCATCCGTAACAAAAGCTTTTCAGAAGTGATTAAAAGGCAATATAACGGTATTTGGAATGCTCGGCCTCCTCACTCTAGTTGTGGAACAATGTGAATATCTTAGATAGCGGAAAACGGCTTGTTCTCTATTGATAATCATATCAATATTCTGACAAATGCAGAACGGGATGAGGCGAGAGACTAACACGAAGAGCACACATTACGCTGTGTGCTTTTTTTGTGCATTGAAATATTAGACAGGATGGTGAGTAGTGTTCATCTCTGATGCACCTATTCCAAAATACTCAACTTTCGTCTTGACCAACTTCATCGAGAGCAATGTTTACCACAACTTCACCACAATGAGGTCGCTCGACTGGGCTGTGGAAAGCATTAATGTATTTTGAAGCTGCGCAAGTGACTTTAGAACATCCTTGAGTAGAACAGTGAACTCAATCAGCTCAACTTACTCTGGTTTTTGTCGACGGTCACACAGGCCCAGCCCCGCTAACATCGCATACCATATAAACCCAGTGCAGCCTAGAGTTCATAAAACAAATTTATTACAATCAACTATGACAAACAATCACAACTAAATACAAAATTTTCTCGAAAAGGCTTTCAACAACATGAGAGTGAGTATGTCGAGTAATCACATCTGGCAAAAGGCTTATTAAACAAACCTTATAAAACTGTAGCGATTACTAGAATTGCTGAAAAAGATCAAAGAGATCGGAAGACAAGCACATTCTCATCCTCGTGAGTATTACCCAAAAGATCGAACGAATTGCCCCGTGATGGTGTGTCTTCATGCTGGGTTTCAACTAGGGCACCAGGAGCCGATGTGGAGCGCGTCAGAAAGCCATCCTCAGTGCCTTCCTTCATCATAATTTTATACGCTCCTTCACAATGATTCTCCAAACGAGGGCTGCTTATCAGCTCATTTTTTACGACTTTCTTATCATCGGAAAAGTCTCCATACTGGTGCGTTGGCTGCTCGAGCTGCTCATAGTGAGTATTGACATCATGAGAGCTCACATTGCCTTGGCTGCTCGCAGCCCCTTCATGAACCGTTTCTCTCTTGCACACCTCCACTTGTATGCCAGATTCCGGATTCACAAGAAGATGTTGTCTGTAGATTTTGCCATCTGATGACCTCACGAGGCTATGTGAATGTCTTGCGTAGCAAACCTGCCCGTCATTCAAAGGATTAGACGGCTGTTCGACATTGACAAAGTCAAAACTTGGACGATCCGTGGCGTATCTCATCATCGGAGAATTCTGGTGGTTGTATTCTACGTTCGGTGGAATGAATGGGGGAAAATTCGGTGGAAACTCCGGATGTGCAACAAAATATGATGGGTCGCGGGAAAGGATTTGTTCCGATTTAACTGAAAGTGCTGAGGAAAGAAGTGCATCGTTTGGTAGCTGTGCTGGCGTTTTTGTTGAAGTCTTTCCGTTCCGTCTATTCCGTACAGTTGCCTTCTGGAACTGTGCAAGGCCAACTTGCCCTCCTTGAGCTTCGGCAGCACACAGATCACAACGTGAAAGGCGGTAACGTCGCGCGATTGTATCACGACGCATTGAAGCAGGCCGCTTCCTTCCATTTTTGCGGAAGAATAAATTACATGCGCTGAAATGAATATAAATCACCAAAGGTTCTCGAGGAAAAATGCTTGTTCTTGCTTATACAATAAATCCTTGCTAGAAAGAGCACAGCCAACGACAGTGTGTGTGTGTGTGTGTGTGTGTGTGTGTGTGTGTGTGTGTGTG